AAAATGTATTTTTGCATTGAACTTCATCAATATTGCATGAATTTAGATAGAATGGCACCTTGTACCTACAGGAAGATTATAATAGAGTAGTTAGGATGGAACTAGGGCCTTGATAGAAAGCTCTCTTTCTTCTATACTAGTTTTTATGTAGAAGTTGTATACGTTGTTGTACGTATCATTGACGTTCAACAATTTACAGAATAGACGCTTAGTCAAAGTATTAATATAATAGGGGTAGATTGGATCTTCAAATCCTCACTATGCCAGTCAGCCCGTGAACAACAACCTATTTAATATCCTACCTAAGCATTTATTCGTGTTTATCTTTTTATGTCCGAGTATTTATACCTACTATAGAGAATATTCTAGGCTTGTGTTGATCTCATATTCTGTTATAGGAGCTTTCTGCTTTTGACAATCTAGATACTTCTGCTCCCGGCAGCCGAATGAAAAAGATTGCATTTCGGCAGTCTGACTCAGCCACCTTGACGACTTTACACGTTTAACACCAGGGTTGTTACCGACCAGACGGGAAAGCATGAGTCAGATGTACAGCACATCAAATTGTACTTTTTTGTTGCAAAATGCCCCCTATTACAGCTACACAAGATACTACAGCTTTTAGCTTGATGTGCAGTCATTTGTACCAACCTTCAGACTTCCTAACAATAAAGTGTTTTCGGTTCATTACTCCTGCTACACATTCTGTGCACATTTCGTGGAATACGTTTGTTTGCGTCGTGAAGAGCATAACCTGTTTCTAATCATGTATTTTAGATGCCACGTTATGTGTTGAGAATGCACATAATTATCGGTTAAAGTAGTGCAGTAGGTTTGCATTTCAATACTTTGGTATACCTATCGTCATCAATATTCCACTTAATGAGAACGAAATCAGTTTAGTTATCATAGGCATTTCGATATCTATTATCTAGTTCAGAACGAGTACCTACCAAATTATTGTAGAAGATTACAGAACTTGTAATTCAACAGTTCATGAATCAAATCCAGAAAGAACTCAAATTCATGTGTCATATCAATGACGCTCATAGAAATATCTCGTACATTTCAATATTATGATGCGACAACAACAAATTGATCATCCCGCTACATAATCCATATCTATAATCCGTTAATTGTTCAAATCGTCGAGATTAAGTGCTCTACATTGACACAACCAATGCAAGGGGATTCACCTCAGTAATTTATCTCCTTTAAGCAGTTCAATACCAATATTTACAAGTTGCAAAGTTCATACTTCGACGTTCGCCTCCAGACACAATAGAAAATCAATCGAGTCGAAGCGATGCGGTCCGCTCGCTGTAAATAGTTTATTTTGTAAGTATTATGGAAATTATATTCGAGTTTGAACATAACAACATAGATGTCTGCATATTTTTTCGTATTTCTATTGTTCTAAAGTGACATGAAGTTTGCACTTCGCACTTTGACCGTAGGTAATAGCTCTATTTGCGATACTCGGTGATATTATTCGTAATAAGTTTTACTCTTACATTGATTACAGGATGGTTCCCATCTCTCGTTTCCAAATCTAGAACTTCTGTGTAGCCAAGATACTAAACGGCCAATAAAACCAAGTTTGACCCTGCGTTCAACTGGCATTGGATCCGAATCCAAAAGAATCATACTAAAATAGAACTCCTATTAGGTATACAAGTAGTAGCATCTAATAAGCAGAACCTAATACGAACCAATCAAGGAAACGTAGTTTTCGTTCGCGTAGGCGCGACCCAACGTGACGAACCCAATCCCACTCGGGCTACGTACGCCGAGACGGTTGTAGTCTGGATTTGCTCGCTGACTAACTCGTAGTAGCACAACAACGTGACGAACCGTGTAATAACGTCACGTTGATGGAAACATCATTCCAGAATTAAACCCAATCGATATGATTGATACGTTATTTGACTTTGAATGTGACTGGTATGTTATTAATTATTATAACCATAACAACGATGTTAGAACAGAAGATGTGTAGGTACCTGACGAAAAGTGGCAATCTATTATTTCCTTAATAGTAGAGCTATCCCTCCAAAGTCCGTTGAAGAAAAATGCTTCTTTAAATCTAAGTTATTAATATGTCCTTTGTTACTTGACAGTATACGTGTATTACGAAGAAAACGGTTTTACTGAATTTACGGAACCATATCAAACGTTTGAAGCTATTTCACTGAAAAGCCACCACTAATCAGAAGCTCCAACAAAAATACACATCTTTTTTCAACCTGTAAAACAAGTTGTTGAAAATGAGAAAATGTACCACTAGAGTTCTGCTGTATAAATTCAACAAAATTGTAAGTTTTCCACGACGTTTGCTCGGCTGTGCCAAGTCCATTCATAAACAATCAACATCTGTGTGTATTCTCAAGAAAGGTAATAACAACACTTGGTTCAAAGTCCAATTCCTAATACGCTTATTCTTAAAATACCTATATTTACTGGCGTTAATAATTACTTAATTGACTTTGATGGTATAATAATAGGTTCGATCCAGGCAGACTGAATTACTGCAGACTAAAAACAGAAAGACGATCTTTGAGCAAAACACAAACTAAAAACATAATATTGAGTTTAATTGCTAACGGGAATTTGTTGTTAACACTTAAATTAAGTGTTTGTTTTAATCGTCTATTTTACGGACGTGATATGTACCCCAGCATCTAAAATAATGATATCATAGAATTTAATTAAGTACCTATATTCAAATGGTTGACAAATCATGTTGACAAACTTACTTTCAAAATTAATCATTAAAGCTAATTATTTCATAATCAAGCAATGAAAATTCCGAACTAAATCAACAGTGAAAAAAAAAACAGTGGAAGTTTCCTCAAAGCAAATCATCAACATTTACATATGAAAACAAAATGAACATCGCCATCGGAATGTTACAGTAAATATAATAAAAATTCTTTGTACCTAATCCAAATAGATGAACAATGCAAATGTCAAAGAGTCTTCTTGCCGTTATCAGTGTTTGCACCTGGTTTATGTAGTGGAAAATAGTTTTCATGTTGCACTGACGGTTTACCTACTGCAATAATATCGATAGTGTATGATCGCTAGTGATGTACCCAAGTCGAACCGGAAAGGCACTGTTCTTGGCATGTACTTAATGCGTGAGCGCACAAACCATTGGTAGAGTAATTTTGTAAAGTTGGTGTTATAGGACTGAAATTCTGAAGCTTTTAATAAGCTTTTAACTACGGAACTTCAGTTACTTTACAAAACTTAGTTATTTTTTCATAGCGCATGGCATGTTTTTGAGTTTATGTTTGCACGAAGCCATACTTAATTATAGGACGGTGGAAAATGAAAGAAAAATATGATGATCGATCATAAATATTAAAGAAGAAACGTAGCGTAGGTCTCCTCATCCAATCACCTCTATTTTGAATCATCCATTTAGGCTTGTAATTTAACCGCCGCTGTGGTCTAGTGGTAAGATCACCTGCTTCAGACGCAGAGATCTCGGGTTCGATTCCCAGTGGGGGCAGATTTTTCTGTTCGGTTCGTCACTTACCATCAGGTGATATACAGGCCAAAAGCTTCCTCATTGTGGATAAAAAAAAATACACCCGACGTTCTTCAAGTTACCGTCTGAAGAAACCATTCGACGTCATCAACAACGGTTCTTTCCAAATACAACATAAAACTGGACTATCGATAAAATACCGATAAACTCTATCGATGTTTATTGCTATCGATAAATCGACCACCGCATCACTAGTGGAAAACAGGAAACTCACGAGGCTATTGACTCAACGCTTATCACAGCCAGTATCTCGACACCACTGATAACTTACATTACCGGTTGTTGAAATCATGCCAAGACAAAGAACCTTGTTTTAAGAAAAATCGAATATCGGTTTAAGAAATTGTTTTAAAGGCGAATTCTGTGAAGGAATTCATTTATTTTTTTACACAATTTAATTAAAGAATATTCAAAAATCTTTATAAATTACAAAAAAAATAGACAGCTCTACTTAAAGTACTGAGGGAGATAAAAAAGCGTGCCTGCACCCAACACTACATAGCTACAAACTTTAAAAAAAAATTCGAAATAGAATACGCAATAAACTCGATTTCATTGTGAAATAAAAGCAATTGTGTATCAAACTATGTAATCGACAGTAAAGTAAAAACAACTTAATTATGAAGTACCTAGTAAAAACGGTAAAAAAACGTGCACCGTCTTTTTTTTAAATCAGGTAATACGCATTACGCACATTGTAGACTATCTACTTACTCGTAAAATATTTTTATAGATAAACATGTATTTCATAACGATTACATACCGTTTAACATTCCATTATATTTAGATAAATCGACCAATATAGTGCAACTAAGTCCGATTGATAATGCACCTTTGATAATAACGTTAAAGATGACACAAATCACGTATTACACGCATAACTGGATAATGTAATTAATTTTGATAGGTACTCAGTTACGTATTTATTACATTCCCAAGATTAAATGAGAAAACATTAAAGAACTTAATTATGCTATTGGTCAGTAGACAAATTAATCTGACAGAAGTTATGGCAAAATATTATGCCTATTTAACTTCCAATATCGTTTAATAATAAAGCTTTCTAATTGATATCGCCTCAACCAATCAAGTCCTTTGCGAACGAAATCGTTAAATCATAAATAAGCAAACTTCAACTAGACGACTAATAAAGCCCAATTTATTTACGAACGACATAAACATGCCGAAATATTATCTTGTAATTAAATTAACAGCCTAATTACCCCTTTAGGCTTCAAAATAAATCAAAGCGCTTTTTCTGGGGCCATTAAAGATAATTGATTTCAGAGTCAGCCAAAACAAAAAGAGAATAAAAATACACGAGTATAAGGCGTTATTATGTCTTGCAGATGGAGTCAAAAAAGGGAGGCTTGACAATAATGCCAGGGTCCCTTTTTCATTACAAAACACCGTAATAACTTAATTAATTTCGAAAAATTCTTACCCGATTTCCCGCATCTTGCGCTCCCGAGCACCACAACTCTTATTCGATTGACTGTCATCTTCATTGGTCCGTTTTATTAAGCACTGCACTATTTGGAATGAAAGTTTATAATCTGTGCATTTAAATTTGAGTTTCGTAATATGGCGTTCTAATTTTGAAAATTGACCATTCGTATTGGCGGCAAAGCGGCGCGATCAGCTGTTCGTTGAGTAATGGCGAACGCACGCGCGCACCACGCACCTGCTAGCGAGCGACTGCCTTCAAACACAATTGGCGCAACAAAACGCACTCTGACACACGTTTACTAATGAACAGTGAGTTGAGCTACTGCACTGAGGGGATTTTTGCACTGAAAAGCCATTTGCCCTCCAATCGTTTGTTTAGCGATAACCCGCCAGCATTTCCCGGTGTCACTGTGAAAAGCTATGCCGTGTGTAGCGTTGCAATGTACATTTATAGTAAACTGGTTTGTCAAGCATGTTACATTGAACCTTGTTTACTTATGTTCTCTTATGGCGGTGCTATAAGTCCGAGTTTGAACAGACTTGGATTTTAATAGACACATTTCCTATTTCAATGCATGCATGTCCAATTGGACACAATGAATTTATGATTGGACATGTAGAGTCATAAATAATGTTTATCTTAATAAATTATAGTCATAATTTGTATAAGAATTTCTCTACACATGATATGATTATGCCAATGACATTAAGATTTGTTTTTCAGATAAACTCATTATGATAATCCATTAATACAAATAAGTCAAATCGATTTGATCTATGTAGGGGGCCTAGTATAACATAAAATTTAATTACCTTACACAAAAACACAGGGTCAAATGTGCAAAAACGGCCAAATCCACTAATACCAATTAGGTTTTATAATTCACCGTGACTAAACTCGGCTTAAATTCAAATTGCCATGATATCGAGGATGGTTTAATAAACTTTAAAATCGTTTTTGTGCAAAAAGTTTGACAGTGATCCTTCAGAGCGATCAAAGAGCTGTAGTAGGTACCTACTTACAAATGTATAACTTTTTGTCACCAAAAATTTTCACATGTTAACGTCTTATTTTTTTACATTTAGGGACACATTACAGTAAAAAAACTTTTAAATTTTAAATATCAACTTTGGAAGTAACTAAGTAGTCACATCTTGCATAATATTGTTCTGGAAATAACAAAAACAATAGACTCATCGAGTCCAATGAGACAGGGGTATAAAACCTTGAATATTTGCCTAGTCTTAATTCCCTAATCTGCTTTTGAATCATCCTTGATCCATTGTTTATCTGTGCAAATGGGTGTTACGGTTAGCAGTCGATTGAAGCCTTATCTATTCGAATCGGTGTCATCGATACGCTACATCTGTTTTGGGTAAAATAAACACACTTTGGCGAACGTAAGTATTGTCCTCTATTGATGCGGTTATCAAAACTGCAATTTTTTATCAGTGTATTTTTAGGCCTTTATATGTATATCCATAAATGGACTGTGTGATCTTATTCAGTCATGCGCTAAACATTAATTAAATAAATAAATAATATTTTTAGTGTTGCTCGATATCGATCATTCTGATAACTGACAACGCTATCATTTAGGTCTGTAGGAAATTTTGAATAAAATAGGGACATTGATAAAACACTCAAATAAAAAGATAACCTAAAAATTAATCAGGGAGTCGCAAAATTTTCTTTTTAAGAGATAGCTAAATAACAGAATACAATACAATTACAAATACAAGAAGAAACATGTCACTATTTAACTAGGCTGAGCGATCTCTTTGAAAAATATCCAAATCATCCAGGAAGAATTTGTCTGAATTGAAAAGTAAAAGTTAGGAAGCCTTTTAATAGCTTTTAAGATATAAAGTTACAACATCACACTATAACATTTGCCTCTATTGTAGTTAAATATAAAGACATGTCTCAGTCGATAGTCTCGCAATTTCGTCAGCTCTACACTTGCCGTCGTGTCTCGAATAGTCGAATATTAACTTTAGTTAGGTTTCTTGGTAACAAAAACTTTTTTGATAGTCCACATAATGTGTTTGCTTTTTAGTGGGAATATATGGATGGAATGCATGTTCGGTCACCTTAGCACTTTGGTTGTCGTTATTTTTGCTTTACTTTTGCTTTTAATTGAGTGAGCATACCTCGTTAAGATACGATCTCATCGCTTCTTGCTGTTTTATTCAATAAGATTAGAGCTTTCTGTAATTGTATAAGATATTATGACATTTTAATTACGAGTGTGCCAGTGTCGTCTTATTAATCAATAATTTTCCATATACCTATTACTAGATAGATATAGATGTGCCGCGAAGCGTGTGCCAAAAATTCGTAGATTTAGCACTCTACCATTCTGAAGATGCCTGCAAACTGTACCATCTTATCTATTCAGCACAATCTCCCTATAAAAACACTGTTAAAAATACCAGACATAGGGCATAATGTTTGCTTATTTACTTACCAAAAGCTCTAAATTACTAATTTTATTTCTAAAGTAAGCTAGGCAATTTATTCACAACTTGATTGAGTCGACATTTATTGTAGTTAATTGTAGATCCACTTGTTCAGTAAAAAAATCTACAACTTGTTTTTCACGGAGAAAAAAGGTTGTAGATAACTAATTAAAATACAAAGCAAACATGAACCTAGTCAGGTTAGCATTTTTACAATCGTGAAATGGGACAAAAAACATAACGAAGGGGGTTTTGTTTGATTATAACAAGTTGAAATAGCGGTCCGTATGGAAGAATGTTAACAAGCCCTTTGTTAACGGAGCTAATAGACGGCGCGCGCGCACCGCGATAGCATAACGGCGAAAATATTCACGACAAAAATCGACATAGATGTGGGAGTGTGAAACGGAACGCAAGGGAGTGAGTGAGACGGAATGAATGAGTGAGGAAGTAAGAACGACGGGATTTAAACAGAAGACGATTAGTATTAAGACGGTTCTAAGACGTTCCTATTTTTTGTGGTTTATCCTGGAGTAAATACAAATACAGCTGAAGAAATACAACCTGGGTTTCAATTCCTACAGCTTGGGGGCTCGTCCGGGATAGCCCAAGAAAAGGAAACACGACGATTCACGACGATTACGACGGATTGAGACGTGAGACGTATTTTCATCAATCATGAGACGACGACATAGTAAGCATGATTTCGAAGATGCGGAAGATGCTGGCCCGAGCAAGACCCTGGAGCAGCGCATACCTACTACTTTTGCCTATGCCGAGGAGCTGATCCCAAAATTTAGTGGTCGAGACCAAACTGTCACCGCATCAAGATGGGTCCAAGAGGTGGAGGAGAACGCTGAGATCTTTGGTTGGTCACCATTACACCAACTCATTGTGGGACGCAGATCACTCATTGGAACAGCGGCACTCTGGTTGCGGTCGGAGAAGCCATTCAGGTCGTGGGACGAGTTCAAAACTGGTTTACTCAAAGAGTTCCCGGATTCGTTAGACGTAAAGACAGTCCACGAAATGATGAGTGCGAGAAAGAAGGCCAATAGTGAGAGCTGTACTGATTACCTACTTGTCATGAAGGAGTTGGGAAGGCGCGGGAAAATGCCCGACTACGTCGCAATAAAATATATCATAGACGGCATTGTTGACGTAGAAACCAATAAAATCATGCTGTACGGTGCAACTACATACGGTGAGCTGAAAGAGAAACTGAAAGTATACGAGACAGTAAAGGCGAAAATGGTGGATGAACGACGTAGACCCTCCAGTAGCAGCACGACGGCACCGGTAAATTACAATAAGACGACAAGACCAAGATGTTTTAACTGTGGAGGAAGCAACCATATTTCGGCTCAATGTTTTCACAAGGAAAGAGGGGTTAAATGTTTCCGGTGTAATGAGTTTGGACACAGATCTAGTGAATGTTCAAAACCTGCAAATCATCAACAAGTGACCAGTGAAAATTCAAAATGGCAGTCAGACAATCGTCAGCAACGTCATGCCAGTCCGAAACGAGCGATGTTCACGAAAACACCCGAACGATACAGTGTTGCCAACACGACGCAATCAACAACTGACTGGAGATCGAAACCGAACGTAGAACGAAACGCAGAACTGACAGATGACACTTCTGCCAACTTGATGGTATCGGACGTAAACAACAAAAGTGTGAAAACATCGAGGCCGCTAAAAGAAGTTCAATTTGTTGACAACAACGCGATAACTACGGCGAGTCTTATTGATACGGGCAGCGAGGTGAATCTCATGACGGAAGACGTGTACAAAACTATCGGCTCCCCAAAATACGACGACGGAAGATGTTTGACGTTGAGTGGACTCGGACGGACCGAAGTTGTCCCGTTGGAAAAAGATGATCAAGTTGTAGTACACGACATAGACGACTCTAGACACATGACTGAAATTGAGAAAATATTAGAAGACTGCAAGCCTACAGATGAAATAAAGAAAAGTAACGACTGTCAGATTGAACACCGACCTGTATCACGTATGAAACAAGCCGACGTCCTAAGCTGTTTAGTACTTACCGAGACGACTGCACGACTGAAGAAAGCACAAGATGAAGACGAACATATTCAGATGCTGAAAGAATCCTACCAGAATGACATGTTGTACCAAGAAAGAGATGAAGATGAATTATTATTTGTAGTACCGGAGAAGACGCAGAACGAAATTATAAGAGAGAATCACGAGGGAGGGAAAGAAGGACTGTTTAACCGGATTAATAAAGGAGATGATGAACTTGTTAAGATGATAGAAGAGGAAAACGTAGAAAGAATGAACGAGACAAGACCAGAGTTAAGAGAAAAGGCAAGAGAATGTGTGGAGACAATTCAAGATGGAAGTGTTAGAGTTTATAACAAGAAAAGAAAGAAAGCTAGAACATACGAGAAAGATGATTATAAGAATTGTATTAAACAAGATTACTTATAAGACGCTTTAATGTAAAATTTTGAAATGAAACAGTCCGAGGGCGGACTGTACGCAGGATGGCCGAGTGTGGGAGTGTGAAACGGAACGCAAGGGAGTGAGTGAGACGGAATGAATGAGTGAGGAAGTAAGAACGACGGGATTTAAACAGAAGACGATTAGTATTAAGACGGTTCTAAGACGTTCCTATTTTTTGTGGTTTATCCTGGAGTAAATACAAATACAGCTGAAGAAATACAACCTGGGTTTCAATTCCTACATAGACAAGATATGGTAATTTATGGATTTCAATATTGTTTGGATCAAGTTCTATTCTGTTTTTCTGTATTTCTTTGATTGTTTTTGGAAAGGATTTGGAAAAACGTTTTTAGTATATTTTTCTATGCTTCGCCCACGCGGTGTTTGGTCCTATGATTT